CACAAGGTCCAGCGCTGGCACCTGGATAAAAAATACATTGAGACAAGTTCAAAATGTCATCTGTTTCCTGACAGAGAATACAGTCTCTGTTGTCAGCCAGAGGATTGTGAAGTGCAACCAGTGGTAACAATATTTACTGAATAACATTGAATTTCAATTGTAATTCCGTTTCCTTAGACATTTGGCTAGTTCATGTATAACAAGGCATTCAATGTAACTCATGCAATCAGAATCCAGAGTCAGAACTAACCACTTTATAATGTTGTCTTAATATTGGTGTTTTTTGTTTTGTTTTGTTTTTTTAGAGTGAGATGTTTGAGCTTGATAATTTTGGCCCAAACTATCATCCCACGTTTGAAGTGTTTTTGGATGTCAACATTGAGGAGGTCAGATTGGGTGTTTTGGACAAAACTCGAGATGGGAAGGAAGTGTGGAAAAGACGCCGAATCCTTCTTACAGGTACTCATGAAATTATTTTGTAGGAGTAAAAGATTTAAGAAAGGTTGGGAGAGATTTCAGTTTATCTATAGATACTCCTCTGTGAGAAATAATTTCTAGCTATGTCCTTGTTCGTTAAGAGTGTTGGGGAGGCTAATTTTGCAAGCAAAACATAGCCTTAGCTAACTATGCTAAAGCTATTTAGGAGAGCAATGCAGTATCTCTTTAAATATGTAATGCAGATTATGTGTGTATTTGGTGATCAGCAGTATTTATCAAGCACAAAACAATGAGGATCTCAATTCGAGTGACATAAACTTAGATAAATGTAAACTAAATACAAGAAATAAAACTACAATAACATTTTCTATATTGAAAAACCTTTGGTGAATTTTTTTTAACAGGTTTATTTGCATGAACAGTCCAAAATAATGCTTTGTTCATCTTTGTGGTGTGTGGTGGTTTGGCCTAGATAGAAGATAAAGCTAAAGGCTGGAAAGATAGTGGTTCATTGCCTACAAGGAATGAGACCTCAAAAGATTTTGATGACTTCAAAATGTTTGGCAGATTTCTCAGTGATCTCAAATGTCTTTTTTTTACATAATTTTTTATTATTAGTAGCACCAAGTAAAGGTGTAGAACTTCCTGCGCACAGAAGGATCCCAGGTCTGATTTTAATGCTGAACATTTCAATTATTCTTGTAATTGTATCTTACACATACTGCACACTCTTCTGAAGACTAACTTAAAACATCTTTTGTTTCAATCAGAAACTGAATTTGTAAACGCACACAGAGATAAACTCATTGAGAGAGTTTCATCAGTGATGGCAATTGCTGACAGTTTGAAGAGCAAAGACATGATTAATGGAGAAATGTACAGTAAAGTTCGTGCTGCAGCACTACGAGAGGAGAAAATGAGACTCTTGTTGGATGCTCTTGACTCTGGAGGAGCTGCTGTAAAAGCAGAATTCTGCAGACTGCTGAAGAAGAAGGAGCATTATCTTGTAAATGAACTGGGGCCTCATTTATAAAAACAGATTTGATCTTAGAGTGTGCAGAAAATCCACTCAGAATCAGAAAAAACTTCTTTGACGTGTTCACAAAAACATCTGACTGGCTGTACAATGTCACAATTCTGAAATATTCCTTCATTTGTTATGCATGTTGATTGTGTCGATGTAAATTTTTGTTAAAAAATTTGAGTTATGTACTGTATGATGTTGTTACTGTTTGACCATGAGTCAGTATGAAAGATGTTTTTATTTTATAATACTGTGAAATAATAACCACATACAATTAAAAAAACATTTTTGTGAACGTTGCTGTGGGGAAAAAGCACATGGGTCATTTTTTTCTTTTCTATTTTACATTTTGACAGATGAATAAAACATAAATGAAATAAAGTTAATCATAAACAAATGAAGTACAGGTCTTTTTTTAACAGGAGCATGAGGAAATGGATCTCAAGAGTCACTCGGAAACATGCTCACATTCACACAATATAAACACAGTATTGCACATTCATTCCCTCATCTTTCCGTCTCTGATACATGAATTTGATTCTTCAAATTCATTGTCCACTCGTCATACATAACGGTGCCAAATAAGTCTCGGTCATTAAGATATCTAACACTGATAATGAAAACCCATCTTGTAAATGTGCGGCTACAAAGAGAGTGGCTCCTATAACTAATTCACTGTAAATGTCTATGTATTTAAAAAATTAGCCGCTAATTTGTTGAACCAAAATGTATTGATCATTGCATATTTTGAATGTTCAAAAATGTTTAATATAGACCAAGGGTCATGTAAATTTCAGTAGATTAAACCTAAATCAAGCCAGATTTAAACTCAACAGCAGAAACATCTGCACAAATTTAGCTTTACTGCAGAGCAGAAAGGTTTTTGAGCTCATAATAAAAGCCCTTCTTTATTTTGCATAAAAGAGATTTTACAGAAACTCAGGACTTGAATGATTAAATTGCTTCCATTTTAGTATTATTTTTAAACTTTGCTCTTGTGATCTGATTCATCATCCCTTTACAGAATTTAGACAAATGTGCAAATCATGAACAAAAAAAATGTTTTTAAAGGGGTCATATGATGCTGCTAAAAAGAACATTATTTTGTGTATTTGGTGTAATGAAATGTGTTTATGCGGTTTAAAGTAAAAAAAACACAATTTTTTTCCTTTACATTGCTTATACCAAAAACCATTCGATCTCTGACCATCATCTTAAAAAAATACTATAAAAGCGCTTTCAAATGCAATTTAGTTCAGATACAAATATGGAAAAGCACTCTACTCTACTTTGAAAGTGTGAAGGACAAAATACATGGACACTTCAGACAAAGAGATTCATCACATTCGATTTTTTCCTCCACGTCAGCAAACACACACTCACGCGCGCACATAGAACCACAAAGCGTCAAATACTCGTGAGGTTTTCTTGGAAGGAGGCAGAGCGTGTGTTCAGAGAAGAGTCCGTAAGCTCACTTTGACACTCTGTGATTAGCATCCATTTGTAAAAAATCCTAAAATGTTACATAAACTCCAGCTTTCAGAGTTAAAAGCACTGGTGGCGTTTACTCAGATACTCACGTCTCCGTCCTATCAGAAGAGTTCAAACTGGCAGCGGACAGCTATTCCTTCGAGGAGTTTGGGCAGTGTGGGCAGTGGTGAGCGGGCCATACGGTAAGTTATTTCACAAGTGAATGTCGACACCTGCAGTATTTTTCAACTCGCTGACTTGTTCTGCAGTATCACATTGTGGATTATACAATTGTGGGTGAGCCCACCCATGATTCCCATAATTTAAAACATATTTTATTAGGTTGAGCGATGGGACAGATCTAAACAGGTCTAGTGTAATCTCCAGTGCATAGCAATCAGGCTTTCACTGGGCTTTACATCTAATAGTTGATGGCTTCTGGTGCCCTCCAGCCTCTTGTTGGCCATTCACATGGAGAAAACTGTCCAATGGCTGCTTTGCAGTGTCTCATTTTGGTGCAGATATTTAGACAGCTGGTTTTGCCACATCAACCCCCCTTCTTAAATTTGGGAAGAAGAGGGAAAGATGATAAGGTTTACATGCATTTTCTCCACTCATCGCTGTGACCTCTTGTAATTTCGTCTTCTGCTGCAGTTATTTATTAATTTGGCACTTTTTTCTCTAAATCATGTTGTAAAGGTAGAAAACGCAATGTGTGTGTGTGTGTGTGTGTTTGCATATAGTTGCGTTGGAGAGAGAGTTTTCATACTGTACGAGTGTGTTAAAATGAGCATGTGTACCATATATTTTCATCCATGGAAGTGCTTTTTTGGTGGTAAGTGTTTGTTTCACACATGAGTCTGCATTCTCTGCGTGTGTCTCTGAGAGTATTCTGTAGGTGGGGTTGAATATGGAAATTGGGTGGAGCTGGAGTATTTTCCCACATTAGCATCTTGACTCGTCCCCACCCCTTGTCCCGTATGATACATTTCATAGGCTGGTCCTGCCTCCAATGGCGGGGCGAAACCTAACCTGTATTGAGGTGTTTTTGAATAAGCGTAGCTGTCAAATGCCAGCGGATTGGTTGATTCCAGCAGGCCACGCTCTCCAGAATAGTCTGTGGTCTTGGAGACAGGGTTGGGTGGGGCTTGGATTTGCGACGCCCTGGCAATGGTGTTAAAATGGGCGTATGTGTTGTGAGCCATTCGGGAAGCGGGCCGGGGCTCGTAACGGCCCGTGGGTGCCGGGTGAATGTTGGCCACTGGGCCGCCGGCTGACGCCGAAGCTGAAGCGGGATTTGGTGGCCGAAATTCCTGGTACAGTAGGGAACGGGTAGCGGTGCGGACCTCATCATGTGTTGTAGCTCGAACATTGTAGTAGCCGTTGGTGGGGTCCTGAAATTACAAATATATAATATTTCACTGCAATGCACTAATTGGGGTTTACGGTGCGGCCACAATTAACATGCTCAGGTAAATTTTATGGGTTAAACTGATTGAGAGTTTTGTGTGAAGCATTTTTTCATGCATTTTTCACTTGAGTTGGTCATGCAAATTCAACACACTGACCAACAAAAAGTTTTTGTGTTTTGCCAAAATTTCACTAATGTGACCGAACATTTATTCCTGGTTTATAGGCACATAGGAGTGTGTAAATATCTGTTTGCACACACACTATCATTAAAAAGTTTGGGGTTGGTAAGATTTTTAAATGTTTTCTCTTATGGTGACCATTTATTTAATCAAAAATACTGTAAAACAGTAATATAGTGAAATATTATTAAAATTTAAAACAACCGTTTTCTATTTTAATATATTTAAAAATGTCATTTATTCCTGTTACTTCAGTCTTCAGTGACCCTTCAAAAATCATTCTAATATGCTAAATTTATGCTCAAGAATTTCATATTATTATCATTATGTTGATTATTATTATGCTGAAAACTGTAGTGCTTCTTAATATTTTTGTGGAAAACGTAATACTTTTTTTTCAGTATTCTTTGATGAAAATAAGGTCTTACTTACACCAAACTTCTGACAGTAATATATACAAAGGAAAAACTGTTAAAAAATGTATATTTTAGAAAAATACATACATATACATATACAGTACATATACACATATATATATATACACGGTATATATATATATATATATTTTTTTTTTTTTTTTTTTGTTTTTAAAAAAGCATTGTTCTGGGCTGTGTTTCCCAATAATACTTAATTTGTCTGTGTCAAACATTACCACTACCATCAGCAAAAAGAAGTGGAAAAATAATGACAGCTTTCATGAACACACCTCCTGTTTGCTATTGGTCAGGCAAATCGATAGCCCCACCCTAAACTCACAGCATTGTTTGAGCCAATGTTACTGTGTGAAGCTGGCTGGGGTTCTCAATCAATTAAATGTTTTAATAGCGCCACAGTATTTTTTACACTTTTAGAGGCAATCAACCTATATTGTCTTTGCATGTTAAACTGACAGTAAACAGTAAACTGGAATTTCAAAAAATTTTACACTTTTCCTTTAAGTATAGCGTCTATATGCACTAGGCATGTGACAGTATCAAATTTTCATGTTGCGATTAATTGCTAATGCTTTTATCACGGTATACGGTATTATCACAATATTGAAATTTAGTTGCAAAAAAGTGTTGTCATAATAAAGTATAACAGGTTTAATAACTTTTTTCTTATAACAAAAAGAAACTGCACATTTAAATACAATAAAGCAATACACTAAAAATAAATATAAAGTAAATAATTTCACACAGATTAAAGTACAAAAGAATTATAAAGACCAATAGGTAACACTTTACAATAAGATGTCATTAGTTAACCTTAGTTAATTTACTAATATTAACAATGAGCAATAACTACATTTGCTACACAAGTTATTAATCTTTGTTAAAAAATACAACTGTTAATGTTAGCTCGAGTTCATTAAATAACACAGTAGCAACTTTTGATTTTAACAATGTGTTATTAAATATTGAATTTGAAATGAACTAAGATTAATGAATGTTTAGAAGAATTTTTCATTGGCAGTTTATGTTTTACTAATAAATTAACTAATGTTAACTAATGGGGCCTTAATGTAAAGTATGACTGTAAATAAAGAATAAAGAATTTATTGTAACAATAAAGAATCTAAACATTTTCAAACAATATCTAGGGCATGTTGTAGTCCAGATTAAAATAAAAATGTGAAAATGAATAACCTATCAAGTCTAAATATTTAAGTATTTGGCGCTGTGATGAGCACCATAGCGAATACACAAATCTGAATGGCTGTTTAAATAATGTAAATGCCTTTCAGAAAGTAGTGCAGCTGCTTTGTTTCCGGGGTGACGGCTGCATTTCTGCTGTTTAGCGCCACCTGCTGTCAGAGAGTGAATGTGCGCTTTCATTCAGAGCCTCATGCGCTTCTCATCATCCGTGCTTGTTTACATGAGAGTGCGCAGCGGTGTTGTGCATTGTGACCAGTTGATGGGAAAATTATCCTTAAAATGCATTCCAAAAATCGGAATAATTTGTAATAAATAATTATTCACGATATTTTGAAGTGCCCACGATAACAACACCGTGCATGTTCATTATCGTGATATATCGCATTACCGAATACCGGCACATGTCTAATATGCACCTGCACCTGTTTCTTACCTTGGGCTCATTCTCCTCCACCTTGGGCTCCAGCGTGTTGCTCTGGAGGTCCTGCTTCAGATCCATGTCATCTTTGAAGGGCTGGGTGGAGGGAGAGAGGGAGACAGAGGGAAGAAACTAAACCATCAAACAACAAAACACACACACGGAGAGAGGGAGGAAGAGAAGGAGAGAGAGGGAGGAAAACAGGATATCAGCTATCAGAATTGGTGAAGAATAGATGTTCTTTAGTTTGTGGTGGAAAGAAAGTCTTTCACCATTAAAAACTCTTTTTACTTATAGGTTTATCTTTTTTTATTTATTCAAAAAGATCTTTCTTTAATTTTTTCACTGTTGTGGATAAAATTAAGCAGAAATGGCCTACTTTAAAAAGCACTAAAATTGGTGGCTCCTAAACTCACTAAGTATGTTTAAATGCACTTTAATAGGTTGATTTCAGTCAGACTAAAAAAATAATGTAAATGCTTTAGTTTGACTAAAAATGTATATATCTAGATAATGTGATTGTAGAGATTTTATAGAGCAGTTGAACCATATTCAAATAAACAATAGAAGCTTCCAGCAACAAGTAATTTTTCTGTTTACACTGAAAGCAAAAATGCTAACAGAATATAATCACAACAATCACAATATGTTTGATATTTCATACTGCTACACTACCATTCAAAAATTTGGGATCAGAGAGATTTTCTTTTAAAAGCTGAGATAAATGAAAATGAATAAAGAAACCTTTATTTAGCAAGGAGGCGTTAAACTGATCACAAGAATTGTTAACAAGAGCTTTCTATTTCAAATAAACACTGTTCTTCTGAAATTTCTATTCATCAAAAATCCTGAAAAATACGGTTTCCCCAAAATATTATACAGCAAAACTGTATTCAACATCGATGACAATAAGAAATGTTTCTTGAGCACCA